CTGGTTAACTATATCTTTTCCCTAAGAGTTAGAAACCACAATGAGAGGAAAAGCAGGAATTTTAAAGGACAAATGTGATTTCGCTGTATAAAAGAAATTAGTAAATATAGATTTATCGATACATGCAGAAGCAAAGCTGGAAAAGAGGAGCATGCTCAGCAAACACACACATCTCCCAGGACAAACAAAGCCTGTAAATAAGCTGGAAAGACACCAGAAAATGAGCAAAGTATTGATCCAAATCTGCAATGGGACAAAAAAAAAGCTGCTACTTAAAATGTAACAAATTTGCTTCCACTGCAGAAATAAATGATCAAACTCTCGCTGAAAGAAACCTCTAGTTATATAAATTTCTCCTAAGGCTGCAAGCGAAGTTATAATCAGCTGATTGCTATTAGAGGTTAGCAGGTTAAGCGATTAATGTAGGTTTTTCCTCAATATATTAATACAGTAAGCAAGACTATCTAAATGGGAAGATGTTTCCACCGAGAAAAAACTCTCAAAGGTGACCTTTCCTGCTCATTTCCAGCTCTGTGTGTTTAGGTTTCAGGGACATTTAATATGATCACCAACTACTGTAACAGTAAATATATGACAGAAAATAAGGGTGACGAGATAGTTTCATCTCCAGACAATGAAACCGGGAACAGAAGAGGTGTATGTACTTAGTATTGGCAGAAGAAATCTGGTAAATGCATCATATGAAAATTTTCTGTTCAATAATAAAACATTCACAGAAACGTACATCTTTGAGAGTAAAATAAAACTTCACAGTTTAGTTCACAAATTTCATTATTAGTTTTATCATTTCTGAAACTAATAATGACATGACTCTATTAGTGTGTGGGGAACAAAAAGAAAACTGTTCCCTCTCTCATCAGGCCTTTTTGAAAGCCCCTCACCATGATGAGGACGCCACAGAGCAAAGCTTGACAGAGCAGTGTGTGCATTTGATCACTAGGGGTCAGTGTTGTGCAGATGAAACTGCAAAGAGATTGAGGTAATATCCTGGCTTTTACAGTGATGAGGGGAATGTGGTTAATGACGTAATGGTGCCGTTTACTTGTTTTTAAACAAGATTACAAATGTTTTTAAAAGTTGCAATTAATTCTCAGCGTTAAGTAAAAAATTACATACATTATAGATTTACATTTTTTTAGTAGCTAAAGTTGAAAAGTGATACTGCAGAAAAATATGTTCATCCATCCATCCATTCATCCATTCATTCTCATACAGATCAGCCTGATGCTGGAGCCTGTCACAGGGTGAGAGGCGGAGAACACCCTGGACAGCTGGCCAGTCTATCACAGGATTATTATACATTATTTAATCATTTTATTGAGTTCTGCTTCACTGATGTTGCTGGTTGAGGTCAAGCAATCATAATGTAATTTACCCTGTTGTGTAGTTTAATCTGTAGCAGCACAGGAAATTCTGATGAGACCATCATATACATGGAAACTAATAACTTGCTGCTGAACCATGAGTTTACATGGTTCATGGAATATTTCACTCTTTTCATATCAACTAAATAGACATGATTTTACGTGGAATCAAATATGATCAATCAGTATATACTAGAAAAGATCTGTAATTGTCAGTATGTTGTATTTACATTCTCTGAAGTAAAACCATTAACTTTATGTTTGTATAGTCAAAAATGTTATTTTTTATATATATAAACCCAGTTACTAGTTTAACAAACTGGTTTATTTGTGCAGTAAATCATTTTTTCACATTATGAATGGACTGAAAATACAAAATATTGCATAAATTACAAAGTAAAATTCAACAGTACTTTTCTCCTTTTTTAATTGGATTAATTACTTGGACAGTATTTGAACTTATTATTGGGTAATATTGTTGTTTATACAGATTTAAACATCTTTATTAAATATAAAAAGAAATCTGTAAAAACAGACATTTTTTATGTAACTTTAAAACGTCTGTATTTTAATTTATATGATTTTTTTTTTTAAATACAACAAAAAATTATTATTATTGTACATTTCGGGGGATTAATTATTCTTTGATTAATACAAAGAGCTTTTTTTGTATCACAGATGTGATATAAAAGCTTAATTTGTTTTTTAAAAGTCTCTGTCTTCAGATGGCAACATAGCAAAATCAGGGCTTTCAGTGGCAGATTAATGAATATGGTTGTTTATGCAGTTCTAATTCATCTTAATGCCAAACAGAGACACCTTCTCTGGGTCGTTCTCGCTGCACTGCGGTGCTGCTCGGCATCACTGGGGTGTTTTTTTCTGGACGGTAAGCATACTGTTGCAGTCCCCTTTAACAAACTCGTGAGCAGCTCTGAACCAGCTGTGATGAAAGTGGGGAATTCACAGATCCCCAGAGTATGCAGATGTGTTATTCTGGGCTAAGGTGAGGATGTTCTGTTTCAGACACAGCTTGTCTGGGCTGTTCTCACTGCAATGCGGTGCT